TTGATGAGCACTGTCAACTTCATTAGAGAGGGGATGTGAAGTGCTTTTAGCATATTTTTATTATAATTTGATCACTCTCTTCCCCTTACTTTTTCTAAGCTTTTGTTTGCAGCCTCTGTTTCTAGTATCTTGAGGGCACTGTTTATTGATGTCACCTGGTTCTTGTGTTTTATTGAATTGTTTTATCATGTGCTGAGAATGAGATTGAGATTGTAGAAGATTCTGTGAAGTGCTAACCAAAAGCAAAGATAAAGAAATGTTTACACATAAGGCAACAACAAAAGTTATATGTATTAAATAACAGATATAGAGAATTATATGTAACTTTTAAAATTAATTTTGTGATATACAGAAGCTAGCAATGATCTTGGGATAATGTCTTTTGCCTGGAATTCTGTTTCAGAGAACATTCATCCTCATGTGTTTTTTTTTTCTGTCGATTTAGTAAATATTTGAATGAATGTGAAGAAAGCATAACTCAAGCTTCTAAAATCAACAGAAAGCATGAAGAACTCCTTACACAGCTTTCTGGATTCTTGAACACAGACATCAGAGAAAAAGAGGAACCACAGGAACATTTAATGACAAAGGTGATAATGTGTAGGCAAGGGTTTCTGTAGAGAAATTTAATAGATGAATATTTGGTTGTCAAAGAAATAAAGTGATGAAGACGGGAATCTTTGTGTTAAATAATAATTTGCAGACAGTGCTCTCACTTAAGGCAGATTTATTTTAATTTTGGGTTGATTTTCATAGGTGCTAAACACTAATAAACCTCAGTGAACTCAGCCTGGTCTTATCTGCATAAATGTTTTATCAACTTGTAGTTCCAAAGTACAACCCTGATTAGATACTTGGTTGAAAGCTTTCCTGAAAACATTCACACTGGGAGTTGCTAGCTGACATGTAAACTGCACCACCAGATCTTAATGCTTATCTTGAGCCGACATGCCATTAAGTAGAAACATCTGAAACTGCATACCCTAAAACAACCTTAACTATGCCCTGTAACAAAATGCTGTAAATCACTGTATGGTGTTTTTGAAACCTAATCATAAATTACTATTCAGAATATTTCTGAAATTCCAAAATCTAAGCTTCCATTTAGGAAGGGAAAATTGTTTGTATACTCTTTTAACCTTATTGATGATACTAAAGGGCAATTTCTCCTAATTTTATGCATTTTTCTCATGTTCTGTCTAGTCTTTTCTATCCCAGTTTTTCTTCACTTGGGAGAAAACTAGGTATTTTTGGAAATTCTGTTTCATTATATTCATATTGTTATAAGAGTTCTGGCTATAAGGAATACTTAATAAATTAAGATTATCTAGGTATGTATCACAGTGATTTTATACAGTCCTTGCCCTCAAAATATTGCAAGCACATTGAAATTGTAATAGATACTCCAAGAAAACTTGGCTAGTTGTCATTAGAGGCAAAGGTGTTTGTATTAAGCTGTAACACTTACATGCCTTAAGGAAATATTTGGAGTTTAAAAAAAAAAGTATATGTTGATGTCTTGTTTTAACAATGTAGTAATAAGACTAGTTGGGAAATCTAATTTGTTCTGAAAACTCTGTACATTAGGAAAACTCAGCAACTCATTTTTCTCCTTGGGGTCATGGCATGTCTATTTAGCTTCTTTTCCACGGTATGGTTCTGTTTAAGACGGAATTGATCTGGCTTAATCGTAATAAATGTCTTGCCAATAGTCAGGGCACATTTTTTTTTCTACCTTATGCACTCTTCGAAGTGCCCACACTCATCTATTCCACTTCTTGGAAATAGCGTAATGTACAAAAACAGCCCTAGAATCCTTTTGGAAATGACTCCTTTTTCCAAGGTATCGGCTGCTCAGAACAGCAGCACACCGGGTGTTTGGCCCTGCCCTTAAATATGAAATAGCTGTTACTAACTCAAATCTCCCCGTGCCTAAAAAGTGTCAAGCATAAAATGCAGCTTTCAGTTTCTTCTTCCAAATGAGACACATAAGTCTTAACAAGCCAAACTGAAATGGTCTGCTTTTCACATGAAGTTAGTTACATGATCTGTTTTCATTTTCTGACCTGCTTTATATCAAGTGCAGATATGCAGAGGCAGTAGCTCTCCACCTTTTCACTAGATCATAGAGATTGTGTGGGAGTAAATCTGAACCACATTACACTAAGGTGTGGGTTTCTGGTGGGAATATGATTCTCATTTTAATTGTCTTTCTACTTATTTTTAGAAAGGAATAGTAGAGTGCAATTATAAACCTGAGCTAGGGGTCACCAGAAACACCACGTCTTTATTGGGATGATTAGGAGCAGGTGTACTGGGATGAATATATGTCATTGTTCAGTGCTTTAAAAAAGTTACTAATATTTGAATTATTTCACTAGGTATCTGAAATATGTAAAGAAAATCTGACACTAAAAGACCAGGTTGCTGCTCTTCAAGAAGCTATCAATGTCCATGAGATGGAGTCCAAAGCCAGTAGAGAAACTATCATGAGGCTAGTTTCAGAAGTGGCCAAGGAGCAGAAAAAGGCAGCAGGATATTATCAAGACATGGAAAAACTTAGTAAGGTACATAATTGCATGATGTATATATTTGTCTACTTTTCAAATGTTTTCTCAAAATTTCAAATTAATTTTCAATAGGAGTTATACAACACGCTTCTGAAAAACTTCTGGTGATTAAGGATTTTCCTAAAAAGGACATTTTTCTTGTCAACTTTTTTAAAGCTTGAGAAGATATGGAGATTAAACAATTATATTTTGTAAAATAGATCTGATTTAGATTTGATGTCTCCCTATGATGCTTGCAAATTTATATTTTTTCTTCCTTCATATTGTTGTAGCCTTTGCTGTGCTTGCACAAACAGGTAAATAAACAAGTTTTTTAAAGCAATGTAAACATATAGAGTTAATGAGTATATCTGAGGCACAAGCATGGAAAATGGAAAAAATACTCTTTCAAATAATATTTATTGATATTGCAAGTTTTCTGAGGATTCTTCTACTCAGTTTCTTCAAAAATCCTGAGGAGAAATTGAAAGGAATTGATAGGATACTATTTTATTCTTTCTCTTAATGATGTGGAAGTAAAGTGTCTTGGCTTCAAGACACCCTAGATTATCTTGTTTCACTGCATTATAAACTTGTATTTCATAACTGCAAATAATCAGTTGACTCATACCCAAAAAGTTGTAGGCAGTAGGACGGCTCTTGCAGGAAAGCACTGTTTTGCTATGGGAAACACATAGAGGAAATCTGTGCAGCAGGAAGGAGAAATGTAATTTAAGTTGTAAGTCAGTCAAGCATCCACCAAATACACTTAGGTATGATTTAGAAAGCAAAAGGATGTCATTTAAGGATTTAATTGTTCCGGAAGAACTCACCTTTAGTTTTTGTATACTGCAAAGGATGGATGAAAAAAGTGAGTTTCTGTAGCCGTTTTCCTAATTACTTTGTACATTGAGCAATAGCTGTGGAAAGGGAGCAGTTTACTAAAACCAAAATGAAAATTTCCTGCAGGTACTAGAGCAGTATGGTTAAAGCTGATGATCAGAACTTAAGAAAAAAAAAGAGAAGAAACTTAGACTGCCAAATATGTAACTTAGCTGTGTGTGACTGAGTTTCTAGAAATCTTTAACATAAAGGCAACCTTGTGCAAGTAAGTTTTCAAATGTAATATAATGCCAACCCCCTTGGCATTACTTTTTTCCTGAACAGAAGACCACCACTATACGCTTTAAAGGATAAAGTGTTCAGATTTGGTTGTAGGCAAAACGATTAAGAGATGAGAAATAGCTGACAGTGTGCTCCAGCTCTCTGGAGAAGAATTTGTTGTAGGGAAACAAGGGTCATAAATTTCACTTGCTGAAAATACTTCTTGCCAAGTGACTCAAATGGGACTGAGAGAGAACCTGTACCAAAAACTTCAACAGGTCCTTTTTGAGAACATTTTGTTCTCGTACTTCACTTCAAACACAGGAGTGTGAATAAGGGCAGAGTGTGGGTTGCTCACTAAGTCAGTCACAATCACGAGATGTTTTAAACCAAGATGAGGGTTTCATTTGTGACTTGTTTTGCAAGTTTGCTCTGACTGCCAAAACATTTCCAAAGTTGAACTAGTTGTGTGAAAAAAATTTTCCTATAATTTTAGTGGATATGCCAATTACATAATTTATTTAACCCGTTTTACAGAAATGTCTTGCTAAATTATTAGCATTGCCTTTCAAACGAAGTGTGTGCCATCAGGGCTCATCTAGAGTCTGCAGATTCTTCCAGTGCTGTTTCAGTTTAGCTACCTAAATTTGCAGATACTGAGTAAATCTGTTGAGAAAGTTTTGTGTTCACAAAAGCGTATTAAGAAATTCAGTGTTGAAAAAATAAGTAAAAAACCAAAAAAATTCTTTAAATCCACAGATCTAAAGGAGGATGTATGGCATCCCGTGTTTCCCTGTCAGGTGTCTTATTAGGTTACAGGAAGGGCATCATTGGTATAAAGTTGGTTTGACTTTGTCATATACTTTGCTGCGCAGTTTAAATAAGTACATAAACAGAATTGCACATGTTGTGATGTGTTTGCCTGTGAAGGCAAAAAGCAGAAATTCATACGCTTCCGGTGCCATATGGCAGCATGTTCCTGGACTGTTTTCTGAGTTTTAATTTATGGAATTTTCTGTAGCAGAGTTTACCCAGCACAGACTGAGTACGAGTGACTCTTGACTGCGTTTGTCTGAAGTTCCCAGGGCCAAACACATTGGCATCTTCTGTATTTCGGATTGAGATGGTGGCCCGTTTCCTGCAATTTTCTCTCAGAATTCTTCCTAAGAGGCCATCACACTGTTCTGTCAGCCTTCTCCAGCAAGCCTCAGCCACAGCACTGTTCCCTGCCACCTCTCTGAATCACTGCCAGTTTTTCTTGCTAGGTAGTTCTTCACTCCTGCTCCTTGGGATTTCTCTGAACGCTGTCTCTTGACCAGGTGCCTTTCTTTATGTCCCAGGTGGAGGCAGTGTCTAATGATCAATTAAACATTGTAGATTCTGAAATTCTTGATGAAGAAAATGAAAGCCAGGTTGGTTAGGTTCAAGCAATATTTTCGCAGGTTATAAGGTTAATACATGAGAGTAATTCAGAATGTTCTTTAGTATACTCGATACTGGAGTATTTGCTGCAGTTAGCTGGTTTTCATTTGAGCAACATTAGCAGGTGAACAATAATCTCATTTATTCCCCTCTCAGACTCACTGCCTCACAGTATCAAACAGCAAACAACAGGAACTAATATAATCTCGAAACTAATATAAGTAACAATAGCAAGTCATCAAGCTGTTTTTGTTGTAATATATTGCTTTTCTTTTAGAATTCTGAACTTCTCACATTTTTGACTGAATATTGCAAGAGCTTGCTTCTGGAATTCTGTAAATATTGTGCATACCTTTATTCTGGCAGTGCCTGATATCAAATTTACATTTGATGGGAAATAACTTTTAAATGCTGCTCAGATTTCTAGACTGAGAATCAGGATACCTATTCTTTCTTTCTTCATGCCCAGACAGTGATTACTGATTATGGTAATAATAATTACAGAAGAATGTCTGTAGGTTTTTATAAAATTACTTATTTGCTCTAACAAAGTTTTTTCCAAGTATTTAATAAATTTCTATACAGTATTTATTTAAGGTATAGAAGAAGATGCCTGTATTTTTCTTCTAGATGAATTTGCCTTTTGTACAGCATTGCCATTGATGAACCACAAGAACCAGTAAACTGGCTTGTTCTGTTTCACATCTTCACTGATGATTCAACCTGGAAATGTTTCTGTTTCCCTCTGAAGTGTTAATTTAAACACCTGTTTTGCAAAGATGTGCACCATGCAATATCTTTAAAAAACATATTTGAAATATAATGAAAGTGATTTTAATTAATACAAATATATCTGCATGTACTAGTGATGCAAAATTAACCATGAAAATGCTCTTCAGTATTCAATACTGACTTGTATTACATTATGTTAGTAATGAACAAAATTTATCTAAGTAGCATCTAATCAGTATAAATTTATCCAAATCAATTGATTTTATGAAAACATAATTAATTAAAATATAAACTTATTATTTAAGGAAATTGAGTAAACGTGAGAAGCATGCCTACATTTTGAATATACCTAAGCACTTTGATTGTAGGAGACAAAACCAAATGATTTTAGTTTTTTCTTTTCCCAATAGATAAATAAAGTAATGAGTTTTTCAGTTAGAACCTGGACTTTTTTTGTTTATAAGTTCTCATTAAGAAAATACATACTAGGGACAGGTTTCAGAAGGCATCACAAATATTTCCAGGTTGAATCATCAGAGAAGACAGGAAACAAGATCAAGCTAGTTTAGAGTCCTTGTGGTATAACAATGGTAACTGGAGATGTGGCTGGTGTAAGAATTTATCTGGAAGATACTTGCATTCTTTTTTATACCTAATTATTACTATTAATGTAATGTGGTTTTTTTGTATATGCATGTGTAATTGACTTAGTATGTTGAAACGCTGATGCTGATTGAGGTGCCAGTATTAATGATGATAAGTTCAAATATCCTTCTCTGGTCAAAAAACCCTCTCAAATTATTTAACATAAATACTCTGCTCTTCAAAACAGATGAAAGCCTGAAAGCCCAAAGTTTCCTCTGGAAGGGTAACAAGGGCATCAGTAACCACATGGCTGTTCCAAGAAATAAAATGGAGGAGATGGACTTGTGGTTGTGGCAGGGGTTGTAGAGTGATAGATACTGGTGAAGGACGGCAGTTATGTAGTAAGGCCAAATAACTGTTGTCTAAGCTGTGAAAGTGGCCAGTAGCCCGTGTGTGGGCAAACATGCAGAAATACTTTTGGCCATATATCCTCTGAGCTTCCATCAGTCTGGGACTTCCCGATTCAAAGGTTGCATCTCTCTGTTAACAGAGGTGCTGCTACTATATGATACAGTACGAATGTTTCACATAAAAACTCATGGAAGCCCTTTAGAAAATGGTCCTGTCATTATTAGTAAATTTTGACGAAAAATATTTAGTAATTCCTCCAGTTCTGTGTGTGGGACAGCTATATTGCCAACATAAGTCTCTGGACACTGTCTCTGTGTGTCTGTCGCTGTTAAAGGTCTGAACTCTCCAGGCAGAGCCTCAGCTGTCTCCTGAGCTTTCAAGTCTGTATCCACCTTCTGTAAGACTGTAAGTGTTGTATTTCTCTTTATTTCATTGGAAGTAAAAAACTTGCATTTTTTCTGCTTCTTGTGGTTTAGCCCCAACCAGCAATCAGGCACCACACAGCCGCTCGCCCCCTCCCATCCCGCAATGGGACAGGGGAGAGAATCGGAAAAAACTTGTGGGTTGAGATGAAAACAGTTTAATAGGACAGCAAGAGAGGAGGAAACAACAACAACAATGATGATGATAACAATAATAATAATAATAATAATCATCATCATCATCATCCTCCTGACAAAGGCACAAGAATGAGTGATGCCCAATGCAGCAATTGCTCACCAGTTGGTGACTGATAGCCCATCCCCGAGCAGTGATTCCCATTC